ACGGTACTTTTACAGGGAGTGGTTCTGAAATTGGTTATATTAACAGGGTCAAAGGTAAAGCCAGATATTAGTAAAGAGGTAAGGACAAGTTTTAATCAGTAATAACTATTGCAGAAGGGAAAAGAGTCCAGCAAGAACTGGACTCAACTTCGACTTATGCAGAAGTCACTGGGCATTTTTTAAATTAAAAATTTTTTTTTTTTGGTAAGGAAGATTGTCCCTGAGCTAACATCTATTGCCAATCTTCCTTGTTTTGCTTGAGGAAGATTGTCCCTGAGCTAACATCTGTGCCAGCCTTCCTCTGTTTTGTATGTGGGATGCCTCCACAGCATGGCCTGATGAGAAGTGTGTAGGTCTGCACCCAGGATCTGAACCTGTGAACCCCAAAGCAGAGCCAAAGCAGAGCATGCAAACTTAACCACTATGCCACCAGACTGGTCCCGAGGTCACTGGGCATTTTAAAAGGAGAATGAGGGATCAGCGAGGGGTGCGAGCAGGGGCTCAGCAGAGTCAGGGAATTGAAAAAATTACAAAAAGCAGGAAGAGAGGGTTGGTCCACGTGAAACCCATCTGGGGTTGCTAACTGACACTAATCAAAGTTCGACTCCTACCCTCCCACAGAGACTGGAGACAGAGGCCCCAAATTCAGGTGTTTGCTGGAACAAGCAATAAATTTTTTTGGCAGCCTTGAGTTTTTGCAGACAGGCACTTTAAGGGGAACTATGGTCATCCTGGTGTTGTGGCCTTGAGCTGTTAGAAACTATGTCAGTGTTTGTTCAAGTCTTTATAGGCCAAGGTTGAGGACTAGCAGGGAAGAGGGCTCCGAGGAGCCTGGCTAGAGTCTGGTTAAGGAGAGAATCTTTCCTAAGAGCTTAAAGCTTCATGTTGCCCCTTGTTCTCTATCAGTGGTCCCTGAAATTTGCTGCAGCCTAGAATCGTCTGGGAGTCTTTTAAAACCATACTGATGCCTGGCTCCCACTCCCAGAAATCTTGATCTAATTGGTATGGGTGGGCCTGGGCTTTGGGATATTTGACAGCTCCCCAAGTGATTCCAGCATGTAGCAATGTTTGGGAAGCCCTGCTCTAGAGTCACTTGCTATTCCAAGAAGCCTTGGCATCTCCAGCTGCTTCTCATGCATGTTCAAACTTGAGAAGCATGACTCTAAGCTGGTGGTTCTCAAACTGAGCCTGCATCAGAATCACCAGGACGGCTTGTTGAAACAAGATTGCTGGACCTTTGCCCAGTAGTTCTGATTCAGTAGGTCTGGAGCGAGGCCCGAGAATTTGCATGTCTGACAAGCTCCCAGGTGATGCTGATGCTGCTGGTCCAGCCCACACTGTGAGAACCACTAGTCTATGAAGATGTTGTGTCTTCCTGTAAGGGCTGGATGGGAGCTTAGCCATGTCAATGAGCTGTGTGACTTTTGGCATGTACTTAACCTCCCAGGCTTCAGTTTTTTCTTTTACCAGATAGAGGTTTGACTAGACACTCTCCAGGATTTCTTTTAGCTTTGCTGTAGCAAATAATATGTACATGTGTATCTAGTAAATAGATATGCACTGTTAACATGGATTTTCAAGCTTTGTGCTGGGTATTTCCTGGGGCCAGCACTTTGAGTCACTCCAGGTCTAAGATCCGAGCCTCAGTTAATAAAGATAATCCAGTTCTGAGGAACTGAATTACACTAAGCACACACTATATGTAACTCAGGATGCGTTTTCTTTATGTCAGTGGTTCCCAGAATGTGGCCCCTGAACAACAGCATCAGCACCACTCGGGAATTTGTTAGACAAGCAAATTCCAATTCCAATTCCAACTCTGGTGAATGGGTCCCAGCGGTCTGTGTTTGACCGAGATTTCCAGGTGATTCTCAATGCTCAAGTTGGAGAATCACTGCTGTGCGTGAACTAGAAGACTCAGATCATCTCTGTAGCTAATCTTCTCTGCCTCCTCCCGCCCACCCCCCAGCCCTTAGAAAAGCTTGCATGGGGAACCAGATGTTTATCAGGGTTGCTGGATGCAAAAGCAACAAATAACTATGGCCTACTATGTGCCAGGCACCGTGGATAGAACGATGAGCAAGATAGACAGAATCTCTGCCCTCATGGATCTTACAGCTTCATAGAAGCATGACATCTGTGCAAAGGAAAATTGATGATCATAATGGAATGTACCATCAGCTATATATGACGCCCTGTGCACTCTGGGGAGATAGCAACCACGCTGACTAGAAGACCTGTGTTGGCCAGCCAGCCCACCTCCCCTCGAACAGTGGGGCGCTGATGCTAAGCTCCACCTTCTTTCTTGTTAGCTGCCTCTTTGCACACTTCATGCAGCCCCACCAACTGTAATGACAAAATAATTATTGTTGACAAGTTAAAACACAAGCAGAAGACTCTGGCCTTCCTTCTAGGCGTCTTTCCAGTCAGCTTTCCTTGAAGTTCTGACCTGACTTCCTAGATAGAGGCTTGGAAAACTCCATCACACTAGTGATGAGCTCACATCTGGGTCTACAGCAGGCACCCACTAAATGTCTGTAGAGTGGATGTAAGAGTGAGAAACACATTTAACAAATCTTCTCTTAGGGTGGGTGACTGCACCTGGTTCATCATATCCATTTTTATCCTGATTCCTATTATCTTCCATTTCAGATGCTGACATTTCCTAGTTTTACCCCCGAATTATTTTGATGCCTGTAGCATCCTATCTATGCGCTGATTCTATGTTTCCAAACAATACACTTGAAATCAGAGAACTATTGAATGATTTACATGGAGATAGCATATGTTTTAAAAAAAATATTCATTTGTACTTTCAAATGAAGATGACTTGTACAGGTATTTCTATGGGCACAATTTCTCACCCTTTAAAAAGAGAAGAGTCTTTAAAAAGTTGATTGTCTGTCACAGGTAATGGGTTATGCTGTTTACACATATGCAAACCCAGGTATTGGGATTCTGTGCTGGAACCTCTATCCCTCACAGTGGAGCTGTGGTACCTCAGTCACAGAGGGCTGGGGACGGGGGAGGCTGAGGAGGCCCTCAGGCTGGGACGGAGAGTTTCTAACTGGAAAGTCTAAAATGTGGCTCAAAGGTGATCAGGCCTCAGCAGGTTTTGGCTACTGGAAAACTAATGTTCTGGCTAAGGGTGTTAGTCCTGACCTCTCTTCTGAAAAATGGCCCTGTGGGGGCCGGCCCAGTGGCACTGCAGTTAAGTTCGCACGTTCTGCTTCGGTGGCCTGGGGTTCGCTGATTCAGATCCCGGGTGCGGACATGGCAGTGCTTGGCAAGCCATGCTGTGGTAGGCGTCCCACATATAAGGTAGAGGAAGATGGGCACGGATGTTAGCTCAGGGCCAGTCTTCCTCAAAAAAAAAAAAGAAAAAGAAAAGAAAAGAAGAGGTTTAGCAGCAAATGTTAGCTCAGGGCTAATCTTCCTCAAAAAAAAAAAAAGAAAAAGAAAAAAAGCCCTACGACATAGAACGATGTCACTGCTTTAACAGAACCTCTGCTGACAACCGGGTTCACTTTCACAAGATTCCAGTAACACCACTGCACAATGTGATATTCTCAAAAACTAAGGTTGTGCTATCCCCCATCACTCAGGTTGAAATTCTCCCTGGGAGATCAATAAAGCAAAGGCAGAAATACTCAGAATTTTGTGAAAATTCCCAAGCAATAATCATTCTAAATTACTGGCAAAATTCCCAAAGATGCAGTGACATCCAGAGTTTTCCTGACGCCCTCCTTAAGTCATTCATGCAAGATAAGTGCTCAGGAAACGTTTATTGTTGGGCATCACGAGCGGGGGCAGGGATTCTGGTCATGACTCCTTAGGAGGCACCTAAAAGAGTGGAGAGAGTTTAAAAACTGTTTCTAGTATTGTGTTGGGTGGGGGGGTGGTGACCTCTCTTGTCATATATTATTGAGGATCCCTGCATATGTGTGCCTGGGGTCTTGGGTCTAAGCTGGGGGAGAATTGGGGCTCCTTGCCAGCTCCCGGTCATCTGAGGATGTCCTCTAGGAAAAGAAACTCCACCTCTTTTAGGGAGGCCGGGGCGAACGTGGGTCACACTTTCTGGATGTGGACTTTGTGACCATGATGCTCCTGGGGCCCTGGACAAGCTCTAGTTAGGAACATGTTGTCCTGAGTGCCGCCACCAAAGACCTGCTCCTGGAACGCTGTGTGTGCACATGCAGGGGTTAAGGAGTTCTACTCAGGAAAGGAGGCAGCTGAGTGTGAGGAGAAAGAGCCAGTCTGGAAGAGCTCCTCAAAATTCACAAACCTTCCTGTGTCACGGGAGGGCCTGGCGTCCTTGACCAGGCTCTCTGGCAGGAGACTGGCGGTGGAGTGGAACCACCTCAGGTCTGAGGAGCATGCGGGACTATGGGTGCTAACTGGAGATCTGGGACTTCTCCGGTACACAAATTTTGAGATTTTACATTTAAAAAACTGGGAGAGTCACATACTAGATTTCTGTTTTCTAAATTATCAGAAGATCCTGGAAGTACCTGAGCTGTACAGCCTTGTGACAATAATCAGCTGACTGAAGCGGAGTAGTGGCTGTCCCCAGGTTTGCCACATTCATTTGTGACCTGCTTCTCTCATCCACATTACCAATGTGAATCCTGAAGACACTTGAGTTTGCAGCCCTTGATGTAGCTCAAACATACTTACTGAACACCTTTTATGCACAGAACTCTGTTGCTGTAGACTTAGGTTCCTTCAAAGACCATGGGTGGCATTATCACTTGTTGGATAATGATGCTTGTAGATAGTGGCCAGGATGCTATTAGGTGGGGAGAGCTGGCCTTACACTGGAGCTGGACTTCCATTGGGTTGCTCATGGTGACCCAACCCCCTCACCTCCCAACTCCTTGCCATTTTTTATCTAGAATGCCATTATCATTCTGGGTGGGGCACCTGTGGAAAGTTAGCAATGAGGCAGTCAGGCTCAGGGATTGCATTTAGAATATAGTCAAGAAAGAGAGAGTGCCATCTCATACATCGGTGTTCATCTATTTTATTACGATTTAAAAAAAAATATTGCCCTCCTTCTAACAAGCTTAGTTTGCAAACACAAACAGTAGGTGCAATGGGAAAACAGTTCTCTAAATCTTTTCACTTGCAAAGGTTCAGGTGTAACTAAAATAAGTCTCTCCTTATCAGTACACATCAAAAAAATAGCACCTCATAATCTTCAGTCAAATTAAAGTTAGATTACATTAAGTGGCTGTACTAGGGCCAGTCAGTTTCTTTCTGGAAATAGTATGAGTTATCCTCCTGGGAATAGTCAGAGTTTCAGAGTGTTACCATATATGGCATTGTAAATGTCCTCAGTCAAAGGCACATACATTTCTGCTTTGTCTTCCAAGAAATACAAGGCATCTTTGATGACGGCAGGGTTAAAGCCCTCCTCCACGAGGGTCATTTTGCGGTGTTTAAAAGTTCCCGTGACCTCAATGGTGTCCTGAAAAACATCGAACGATCCACATTGCTGTAGTGTTTTGCAAACAGAGTAGGGTGCAGGGCAAGGGGAAAGGGTGGAGCAGGGGGACTGGCAACCCGTTGGCATCTGGCTCATTTGAGAGCTGTGAAAGTGAGTTTTGTATAATACTGATGCATCCTGTTTTCAGGCGGTCCTTTGTGGAGGTATTTTCCATTCCCTTAAAACTTTAAGATCACCTGTGGGGAGAGGGGAGCTGCCGACAGTGGAATGTGGCACAGAGGAGTCTTGCTTGGTGAGCTTCAGGTGTTACTGGACTATCCTGATTAATGGTGGGGTGGGCTAGGGGTCATCTACACCAGACAACTCTGTTTTTTCAGCCAGTTTGTCTGTTAGACTTGTTTTTTTTTAGATTTGTCCATTAGATTTGTTTTTTATTCAATTAATAGGGGATGATCTGCAGAAATTTCAATTTTTACATCTCTCAGCCACCTCCTTGTAAAGCAAACGTAGGTGCTTTATGAACATCAATAGAAATAACTCTATAAGCTCAGCTATATCTGGTACCCTAACATTCCATCCTCAAGTCTTCAGCTCCAGGAGACTCAAAGAGCTCACAGAGCTCAAGTCCAAAAGTGAGAGTGCAAAACTAAGTAAGGGGTTAACGTAAGGAAAAAAAATCCCTCTGGCAGCGATAGTTAATCCTTTGGTAGTTCCAACTGGCTAATGATGCCCAATTAAATTTCACACCATGGAAAGGTGTAGGACTTCAGTGGATTTTTCCATTCTTTAAAAGCAGAAACAACAAATAAGAGGGTGGAGCATTTCTAGCTTACCTGTCTATCATACCTCCTCAAACACAGACTTTGTGAGTTATTCACTAATACGACTGCCAAATGAACTGGCCTGTCATTTTAGAGAGAAAGGGGTTATGATTGGTTCCTGCTAGCTATATTTTCCGATATGTCTGCTTCCTTATTGAGCTTCCTGGAAAGGGTAATGAAAATTTGGCCAATGTGGTCGCCATGGTAGAAAGGGAGGTGTTCCTTAAGAGACAGGTGTCTCCGAGAGAAGATAATTGAACTTGATAACCAGAGGTCTCACCTGTATTCTTAGAAACCTGGGCCTTGCATAACTGGGCAGGTAATCGACAACATGCTTAAAGAATTTCTTTCCATCAAATTCACGGTCTTCCTTTAGTTTGATCGAGGCCATGCCAATTCGACCTTCGTGACCTAGAAATAAAGTGAGAAAAAATTAGATGTGTTATAGCTATTTATTTTATTCATGATGCTTTGCTAGTTCAAAGAAGAATGGACAGAGACAACATTATAGCAGGGTTTCTTTAGGATAGTTGGAATTTTTTTTCCAATATATGTTGAAGTTATTCTAAAGTGAATATAATAATAATAATAATAGCTCTATAGTGACTGAATCTTTATTATATGCCAGGCCCTCTCCTAAGTGTGTTTTATGGACTATCTCATTTAACTCTTATAACAACCTTATGAAGAGGTACAAATGTTATCTCCATTTTGCAGATGAAGAAACTGAGGCTTGAAGACATTAAGAGACTTGCTCAAGTTCATGCAGCAAATACGAGGCAGTGTCAGAAATTGAATTGAGACAGACTGGCTCTAGAGCCTGTGCTTGTAACCGTCATCCTTCTTAACAGCCTAGATGAAAAGACCCAAGTGAGAAACAGGTTGAACCAGTGGCTGACGAACTTTTTGTTTTGGATTCCAGTGAAAAGTCCTTGCTCCACCGTCAGGAATAACAGAGCTCAGGTTGTTCTTTAGGTTGCAATGCCAAGTCTGTTGCACTTCCAGGCACAAACACCACCTTTGAGACTTACTTATTTAATCAAGGTTCCTAATAGCTTTGCCTCTCTGCATTTCAGACAAGCTGCGGGACAGGAGGGTGAAGGCAAGGTGCAAGGGTGAGCTGTTTTGTGTCCTCCCGTCGATGCCCTCTAGTCCCAAGAGGCTGTGTTCCCTACAGAGAAAACGCGTCCTAATGGCTCTTTCTTCCCCATCAGGCAGGGCCGTAAGTGGAGAGGTGTTTAGAACAATTACCATTGTTTTCTTGTGAGGACTGTGGTAAATAGGCATTAATATATCTTCTACCTGATCGAGCAGACCCAGTGGGAGTCCAGGTCCACTTCCCTGAACTACTTAGCTGTAATCAGAGAGGAGGAAGGAGCCACCCTTTGTCACCTGGGCCCCAGCTTTCGAAATCTCTCCCATGGTGATTGTGTGTTTATCTATGGCTCTAAAGAAGGCAAAAAACAAGAGGGAAAATGAAAAGAAAGGAAACACACCCTTATATGATTTGTCTCTTATCTGAGGAAAGAAGGCAGGGCATCGGACCCTTTTTATCTAGGGGTCCCTGGAAGCTCTCTCAAAGGCACCTGTCTCAATCTATCTCCAAAAAGCTCCTTTTAGAACTAAGGCAGAGGCTGACGCAACAGAAATCTTCAGTGTCGACTGGCTTCTTGCTTCTTGCTCTAGCAGAGGCAATGCCCATCTGGGAGACAGATGGGCCTGTTGGGTCTCAGCTCTCTGCCCGTATCCCCAGAGGTTGGTTTGGAGCTAGTTCAGTTCCAGGGGGAAGGTTCCAGTCTACAGCAGTTCTGGCCAGGGGTTCTCTAGAGCTGCACTGTCCAATATGGGAGCCACTGGTCACATGTGGCTATTAAAATTAACTATAATTAAGTAAAACCAAAAAAACAATTGCTTAGTTGCACTAGCCACATTTCAAGTGCTCAGTAGCCATGTGGAGGATATTGGCTGCTATATTGGACACTGCAAATATAGAATATTTTCATCATTGCAGAAAGTTCTATTGAGAATAGAAAGTTCTAGAGAGTTATTGGGCAGTTCTGGTATGACACCTAGAAAAAGTCAACCCCATTTGAGGCCCAAACCTAGAAGTACCCTCCTGGTCCAAAGCTGAGATCTGTGGAGGCCTTGCTCAGCCCTCTGATACTGAGAATCACCCTTCTGGACTGACGCCTTAGCCTAGATAGACCTGCCGCATTTCTAGGCTGGAATGGGGCTGGTCTCTGCGTGTGGGAGATCAGCCAGCAGCACTTGTGGCATTGAGAATCACAGAATCTGAAAGCTGGGAGATACTTTAGAGTTCATCTCTAATCTTTCACTGCTGCAAGAATTCTCGTAGGATCCTAGGTGGACATCCAGCCTCTTTACAGGCCCCAGTTGGTAGGGTGTTCCCTACTTTAGAAGACAGCGCATTCTATTGTTGGTCCCTCTGGTTATAGTCAAATTCTCAGGCTAAAACTTGCTCCTGGTCATTTCAATCCATGGCTTTTGTTCAGTTTGCTGGAGCAACATGAACACACCTGGTCCTTGTTCCAAACATTTGAAAACTTCTCACCTCCTCTTCCTTGTTCTATTAGCAGTGGCTCCCACACTTTACTGGTCATTAGCCTCACTTGGGAATTAAAAGAAAAGACATGAAGGGCCAGCCCGGTGGTGCAGTGGTTAAGTTCGCACGTTCTGCTTTGGCGGCCTGGGGTTCCCCAGTCTGAATCCTGGGTGCGGACCTACACACCACTTGTCAAGCCATGCTGGGGCTCTAACATCTAGAATTAAAATGATTTCTTTTCATGCCAACCTTCATGTATATATTTGATAAATACATGTTTAGTATTTACATAGTTAAAATGAATTAGAGGCTGGGCCTGTGGCCTAGTGTTAACTTGCTCCACTTTGGCGGCCCAGGGTTTCGCCAGTTCTGATCCTGGGGGTGGACATGGCACTGCTCATCAGGCCATGCTGAAGCGGTGTCCCACACAGCACAACCAGAGGCACCCACAACTAGATTATACAACTATGTCCTGGGGGACTTTGGGGAGAAGAAGAAGAAGAAAAAGAAAAACAAAAACAAAAAAAGAAGATTGGCAAGAGATGTTAGCTCAGGTGCCAATCTTTAAATAAATAAAAAATAGAAAAATAAAATGAATTAATTTTCTTGACAAGCTTAACTGCAGGGCTGAAGTGATCCTAATTTTAGTGATTTGCCTGAAGTCAAATAGCCAGCAGGTGTTGGAGCCAGGACCCAAAGTCAGACCGTGTCACTCCCCGCTCTGCCGGCAGAGGAGATCTGCAGATGAAGGGCTTGGTGATACCACTCCGTGTGATGATTTGGAAACTCAGTGGGGTGGGCTGGGGTCAGGAACCTGTTTAAAAGAGGAGTCTGGACAAAATCAGCTCCTTCTCAATTTTTTCTCCTAGCAACTGCACTTGCTCTTATTTGCATCTCTCCACTTAGAGACCAAGATACCATTTCCCAGCTCTCCAGCATGATGCATCTTTTCTCGAGGTGTGCCAAATGCAGCATGGGACCCTGCATCTCGGAGAGATCTGGCTTCCCTGAGAATCCAAGAGCAGCTGGGGAGCTGACCCACAGAGGAAGGCCCGGTTCAGATACACTGACTTGGCTGATTTATAATGGAAGAGAAACAGACGTAGGCCTTTACTCCCAGGTGGCTGAATGAGTCATTTGATCCTACAGCCAGCAGGAGAAAGAGATGACAAACTTTGCCCTGGGGTTAAAATCACGTTCAGTTACTGCATGGGTTTAGGCACAGGTTTATATTATCTTGTGTATACCTGGCACAGGTACTCCATAAACATTCGCTTCTTGGACAAAATCAACCAGTCCTATTATGTCAGCGACTTCAGTGGTGGCCACGTTTTCCCCTTTCCACCTAGAAGAAAATGCAAGGTTAGCAGAGGTCACTGATGGTCTCTGGCCCAGGTTGCAACGACAGAGAGCAGGTGTTTTCTCCAGAACTCTGCGGTGTCACTGCATTTGTCTTTCTTCCCTGGGGCCCCACAGTCTCCAACTTAGTTTTAGGAGAGGCATCCTGCTTGAGGAATAAAAGACAAAAGGCGTAGACCTAAACAATAAAACGTGGAATTTCAATTTTGCCATGTGAAACAAGATACACAGAATGAATGTTCTTTTAAAACACAGGCTTGGCCTAAGAAAGGCACTAGAAATCAAAAATAGATCTCAATGACTTTCTGCTGGATTTAGGTCCCTCACTTTTCTCATTCACTAACTTTGGCTGCTATTTAATTCACTAAGTGAGCTTCTGTTTAATAGAATTTCATGCTTGTATTTCAGGGTCTCATGGCAATGAGAAAGCTTTTTTTTTTTTCCAGGAAGATTAGCCCTGAGCTAACATCTGCTGCCAATCCTCCTCTTTTTGCTGAGGAAGACTGGCCCTGAGCTAACATCTGTGCCCATCTTCCTCTACTTTATATGTGGGACGCCTGCCACAGCATGGCTTGACAAGTGGTGCCATGTCCACACCCGGGATTCGAACTGGCAAACCCTGGGTCGCTGAAGCAGAATGTGTGAACTTAACCATTATGCCACTGGGCTGGTCCCTGAGAAAGCTTTTAATAAGAAAGAAAATATACTTTATTTGCAGGGAGACTATAATGTTAATACCAACCAGGTGCTAGTTCCCCACTTAATAAAGAGGTAAAATTTGTCTTACATTTAAAAACTCTTTATATCTCCCAGAAGTATCTTTTTAGTAACATGAAGCTGGCATAAAATAACAGTATGGATCCTGAGTCATGGGATACTAGAGATGGAAGGAATCCTGAGGATCGTGGGGATCCTCATTTCATGGGTAAAGGAACTGAGGTTGAGAAAGATCACCTACTTTGATAACGCTGCTGGTCAGGGATAGAGGGGAGCCTGGGAGCTCAGTTGTCCTCATTCATATCCATGCTCTTTCTACTACAGCCAGATAACTTCCATCCCTTCCTCATTCACTCATGCAAAAAGTAATTATGTGCATCAGGCACCGTGCTAGGAGCTTGGGGGTGAACAAGCAGACACAGGGTCTGGGCTCAGTGAGTTAACACAGGAAGGAAGCTGATTAAACCAAAGCGTCCTGAGGCTGGAGGATCATATTCCTGTTGGGAATTAATTTCATGGTCCGTTACAATGACTTTCAAACTTCATTGTGCCGACCTGGGGGTTTTGTGGGAAACCACTTGGTTGAGGATGGAGAGTGGGAGGGAGGGGAGCAGCTGGGGGCTTGGAACCCTTCACCTCCTCTTCAACAATATCAGCACCACGTTAATATGCATTTGATTTTATCTGAAGAAAAGCCCCATGATTGGAAACAGTGTGAAAACTCCCTGGCTGTCCCAAGAATGACCAGTACCAACTGAGGAGAAACGAGAGGAATTGGACAGATGAAGCTATTTAGCTTCCAAAAATCAGAAGCAGGTTTTCTGTCCTATTTTCATCTGGTTTTGCTCAACCCAGTGCTTGTGCTTGTGTTTGTTTTTGGCTCAATAATTCAGAGAAACTAACCGGAATGTATCTCCAACTCTGTCGTGGAAGTGGATGAAATTTTCTTGGTCAATCATTAAGAGATCTCCAGTGTTGAAATAGACGTCTCCTTTCTTAAAGACATCTCTCAGTTTTTTCTTCTCTGTCTGAGCCTTTCCTCCAGCATAGCCGCTAAATGGTGCCAGTTGTGTAATTCTGCCAATCAGGAGTCCAACTTCACCTAAGACAGACGGATGGGAATTGTTAACTTATGTGCTAGCAGTAGGCACATTTTATTATTAACCTTTTCTTAAAATGAATGCCATACAACCTACTGGCCACAAGCTGACTGCAGGAAGTGTTGTTTTCCATGCACATGTACCCGTCCATCCACATACATCATAGACACACAGGTATGTGCCACACACAGTACATTATTCTATATGGCCACACATTTGTGATTTTTTAAGGCTAATCTTTTAGTGAATAATGATGTACACACTTAATTAGACAAATGCACAGTAGTTTAAGCTGAAAGGTAAAGACTCCCTAAAACTAACTATAGTTTTTACAATCATAATTACATATCTCTTCCTACAAAATGCTTATCTCATAATCAAGAAGTTGTGAAGCTAGGTTTCAAACTATAATTATGTTACATGTAGTGGTAAATTAGTACCTTTGGGAATTTCTGTAACTGTTTCTGAGAGTACAAACATAAACCCCTTTTCTTCCCACTCTGATAAATTTTGCCATACTGTTCATTTTAGCAATGACATATTAGTTCTTAATAATCACTTGGTGAAGGTAAGCAAGGCACAGGTTCACTGAACACAAATCCACTGTACCTTTGGGAACTTTGATGCAATATCCATTTGCATCTCGGACAGGTTCATCTTTCTCCACATCATATTTAATCAGTTCATAATTTATGATTTTCTAGAAAAATTAAAACATATCATTTTGAACACACATTCTTTCACAATTTTTTCTTTTTTATTGTGGTATTGCACACATAAAGGATACAAAGTACACATATCCTAAGTGTACAGCTTGATGAGTTTTTACATATGCATACACCCATGTAGCTACAACCCACATGACGATATGAAACGTTTTCATTACCTTAAAATGTCGCTTCTTACCCCTTTCTGTCAAATTAACCATTATTGTGACTTTTATCACCATCAATGTCTTAAACTTCAAATAAATGAAATAAATAGATGCCTCTGTATCTGCTTCTTTTGCTCAACATAACGTCTGTGATATTCATCCATCCATACTGGTATTTGTTTCAGTGGTTTATTTTTTGTTCCTATGCAATTTTCCTTGCATGGATATACTACAATTTATTTATCTCTTCTCCTGTTAAGGAGCATTTGGATTGTTTCCAGTTTTGGACTATTAAAACTAAAGCTATGACCATTCTCACACATATTTTTGGTGGACAAATCACAAGTGGGTTTTAAAAATCTTGTATAACCTTAATATGCCACTGTTAGATGTCTCCCATTTCCAGGGACACATTCTCCAATGTACTTAAGGATCAGTAGTATAATTATTTCATGTCCATGGCTATAAAGTTATTAAAACTCCATCATATTTCATATATACTATAATTCAATGGCGTAAGAATTTAAATTCATGTAATTCAGTAAGAGCAATAAGTATATTATTTTCTCTATTGACAGAAAATGTAAATATGACAGTATTTAGATGTAATTACTAGCCATTATTGCTGTGTCCATTTCAAATTTGTATTCAGGTCTATATCACAAATTAACCAATCATACGCTTTGATAGTAGCAGACAACCATTAAAAACCAAGTAGCATTCACGGTCGACAAATGTAGATCTCGTCTATTTGCAAGAATGTAGAAAATCTGGGGGTGGTAGCCAATGCTGCTTTCCGCATCAGTTGAAGGGACATCTTCCTTTTTCTTTTTTTTAGTTTTTTGAAAACTATGGTTTTGTTTAAAGTAGAAAAACTGACAATAAAACATGGCAATCTTGGATGAGAAGCAAAGATCTCGTTATATACAGCACCAGCTTCTAAGGTCCTCAGGTTTGGTTTAAAACAAAAACTTCCTTTCAATTCATCTTTGAGGATCAACAGTAACAACGCAGATAGCTTGCACCATGCCTCAACTCAGCTTTCTGCCCTCTCTTGTTTTGAACTGCATTTAGCCTGGGTCTCTAAGGTTTGAGCTACTACAGGTTGGACTGAAGCTAACTAGAGAAGACTGACCCTCTCCACAGCAGGTCCAGAGCGGGGTAGGAAATAGATTCTTGGTCTGTAGTGGAGCTGCCCACTAGAATTTTCTGTGATGGTGGAAATGTTCTATATGTGTACTGCTCAACATGGTAATCACTAAATATATGTGGCTACTGAGTACTTGCAATGTGGCTAGTTCAACTGAAGAGCTGAATTACAAACTTTATTGACATAATTTCAATTTAAATCGTCATGTGTAGCTAGTGGCTACTGTATTAGACAGCTCAGGTGTGGAGCACAGAGCAGAGACCTGTAAAGTGTAGCTTGGCTGTCATTATCAGAGAGGTTCTTTGGACTCAGGAACGCCTTATGATCAGGCCAGAATATAAGGAATGGCATGACAATAATTATTACAGCTAACAATTATTCAGGGCTCTTATATGATAGGCATTAGGCTATATCCTCTAAGGGTTTTTTCATAAGTATTTAATTTAAACCTTTCAACACTCCTTTTCCCTTAAAACACTGAGTTTGGGCCAGGCACTGGGCTCTATATTTTCTCTTTTATCTCTGTTTTACAGATGGTGAAATTGAGGTCGAAGGAACATAAAGTGACTTGCTCAGGGTCACTTAGCTAGTATGTGATGGTGATGCAATTTGAGCTCGAGAGCCAGATGTCTTATGCACACGGATTACAGCCCTCTGTCCTCTGCTGGTCAGTCCCTGGGGACACAGGTTGCTTGGGAGCCCCGGTGTGGCTGTTTCATGGCCAGGCGGGATGGGCTGCTAGAGGCATACTGACAGCAGTGACTGCTCAAGCCAGTGGAGGTTCAGTATTCGCTGCTTCTTCCTGGAATTTTGCATACTGGTGGTCATCTGGAAGGCTGACTGCTCAAGCACGAAAAAGGCAAAGAAATTGTCTGGAGACCCCAGGCAATAAAATGAATGAGAGGGAAAAGAGACTGCTATGTGATCTGGCTTAAAAATTAGAAATACCAATTATATATCTGATGAGCGGTTAATATACAAAATATATAAAGAACTCCTCTAACTCAAGACTGAAAAAACAAACAATCCAATTAAAAAATGGGCAAAGGATCTGAACAGACATTTTCCCAAAGAAGATATACAGATGGCCAACAGGCACATGAAAAGGTACTCAACATCCCTAATCATCAGGGAAATGCAAATCAAAACCACAGTGAGATATCACCTCACACGTGTTAGAATGACTATTATCCAAAACACAAGAAATAATAAGTGTCGGTGAGGATGTGCAGAAAAGAAAACCCCTGTGCACTGTTAGTGGGAATGTAAATTGGTACAGCCACTATGGAAAAGCATATGGAGGTTCCTCAAAAATTAAAAATGGAACTACTATATGATCCAACAATTCCACTTCTGGGTATTTATCCAAAGGAAATGAAAACACTAACTTGAAAAGATATCTGCACCCCCATGTCCGTAGCAGCACTATTCACAATAGCCAAGACATGGAAACAACCTGTCTATTGATGGACGAATGGATAAAGAAGATTGGTATATATATATACAATAGAATATCATTCAGCCACAAAAAGAAGGAAATCTTGCCATTTGTGACAACATGGATCGAGTTTGAGGGCATTATGCTAAGTGAAATAAGTTAGACAGAGAAAGACAAATACCAGATGATCTCACTTATATGTGGAATATAGATTAAAAAAATGAACTCATAGATACAGAGAACAGATTGGTGGTTGCCAGAGGCCAAGGGTGAGGGGTGAGTGAAATGGGTAAAGTTGGTCAAAAGGTACAAACTTCCAGTTACAAAATAAATATCTCCTGGGGATGTAATGTACAGCATTGTAACAATAGTGAATAATACTGTATTGTATATTTGAAAGTTGCTCAGATAGTAGATCTTAAAAGCTCTCATCACAAGAGACAAAAATGTGTAACTATGTGAGGTGATGGATGTTCACTACACTTACTGTGGTGATCATTTTGCAACATATACAAACCTCGAATCATTATATGGTACACTTGAAATTAATGTAATGCTATATGTCAATTACATCTCAATTAAAAAAATAAGAAATACGTTTCTGGTGGAGTCACTAGGTGAACACAAATGTTCACAAGATCCTAGAACTGGGGTGCATCCCAGTTCTCTCAAAGGCCTAGAGAGTGGTTCTTAACCCTGGCTAAACAGCTTTTAAAAAACACTGATGACTAGGGGCTGGCCCCGTGGTCGAGTGGTTAAGTTCGCGCGCTCCGCTGCAGGCGGCCCAGTGTTTCGTTGGTTCGAATCCTGGGCGCGGACATGGCACTGCTTGTCAGACCACGCTGAGGCAGCGTCCCACATGCCACAACTAGAAGAACCCACAACGAAGAATACACAACTATGCACCGGGGGGCTTTGGGGAGAAAAAGGAAAAAATAAAATCTTTAAAAAAAAAAAAAAAAAAAAAAAAAAAAAAAAAACACTGATGACTGGGCCTCACCGCAGGACAACCGAATCCAAAGCTTGGAGGGTGGGGCCCTGCACTGGATATATAGAAAGTTCCCCAGGTGATTATGACGCACAGCACCATGAAGGGGAAATACGCTGTGTCACAGTGTACGGTAAACTTATGAAACTGGGAAACTTTAGGAGTTTTATCATATGCAGGTATAAATGGCATCATGAAGACTTCACATAAGTTGCAGATGAAAAAGGCATAGTGGGTTGTTATTCACAGAAATTAAGGTTTTTAACTTCGAGCACCCTGTCTTTTTGAGGTCATTGTCACAGAGAAGGAGCAAAGCCTCCCCTGGTGATAGGAATGGGACACGGCTCTGATGCTTCATGAATTTCCAATAATTATATCATCACGATGTATCTTTTAAGAAATCTCCAGATATGCTCTCATTTTTCAACGTACTTACCCTCAGTAGGTAGTTTACTCTTCCAACAGCACCAATTTTTCTTGTATAATTCGTAAAGGCGACATTGCCTTCGGTGGCAGCATAGAACTCCTGAATGTCAATGTCTCCAAATCTCTTAATAAATTCTCTCCACACATCTCCTCGCAAGCCATTTCCCAATGCCAGTCTCACTTTATGATCACGATCATTTGGTTTCTGCAGTAGAAGGAGGAGGAGACCAAATTGAAACATCTCTGGAGCCTGTACTTACATATTAATCTTTGCTTTTATGTTTCTACATATTTCTGTTGGTTATGAATTCACCTGAGTGCATGCCTTTTCTGTCCCCTCCACACACAACTCCCTCTTCCTTCCCAACACATGCAGTGTGGACCAACAGCTAGCACTCCGATTTAATAACCAAAGGCTTGGATTTTTCCATTTTGATTTTTAAGAGGCAAGGTGAGACAATTTGACGGAACTAAGTGATGCCAACATTTAATCCATATCCAATCTGAAGTTAGAATAACGTGTTGATTGTTTTCTTGATGGAGCTGGTGAGTCTCAGTGAATTTCCAGAAAGGAGGGGCCCCATGGGAAAGATCTGTTGGAGACTGACACAATCTGAAGAACCACCTCCACTTGACGATGAAGAAGAAAACTGGGAGCACAGTGCAAGGAGAGAGAGAGAATAATTTCCCACAGTCATTAAAGAGCAATACTGTTAGGGTCTGCTGGGACTGAAGAGAAGACTCTAGATCACGCCCTCAGATAACAGGTAGAACTGGAGGTCACAAGACCAGGTAAAGCTGAACCAAGACAATGAAACTGTCCCAATGGGATGTGAAGGGGAAGAGAGGGAGGAAGCTGGCTCCCAGTTGTCTTAGGTGGCCTAGGAGGAATATGCTTTATTACAAATAAAAATCACAAAGGAAATTCTGTTGGGTTTTTTTTTTTTTTTTTTGGTGAGGAAGATGGTTCCTGAGCTAACATCTGAGCTAATCTTCCTCTCCTTTGTGTGTGGGATGCTGCCACAGGATGGCTTGATGAGCAGTGGGTAGGTCCATGCCCGGGATCTGGATCTGAACCTGCGAACCCTGGGCTGCCGAAGCGGAGTGCACATAAACACCACGGGGCTGGCCCCAGCAAAAGGTGTTTTGAATGTAAGAACTGAAAGGAGAGCTTGTGTTAGCAAGAGGGGTGGGGTTGGGACCAGCTTGCTTCCCATTCAACCATAATCACTTATGAGGCCCCTACAAATATGTCCAAACCATGGAAATTTTAATGATATTTTGTACAGTATTAATGAGGCAATTTACGTCCTCCAGGAGATCACAGGCTGGTTGGAGAAAAAGGTAAATAAATAAGTATAATTTTAACTTGCAAATTTGGTAATTCTCTGACCTTTAATCCAAGAGAAAACAGAATGGAATGGGGTAACAGTGCTAGGTAACTAGGACTCTCCTCTCACATCAAATATTAATTTCTTTGATGGAACAGCAACTTGCTTAAAAGAGCAAATGCTCTAAGGAGCATTTTCTACATTATCTCCTACTCTGTGAAGTCACTGTGAAGTGATTTTGGAATAAGATTCCTTCTTTGAAAAGAACTGCTCTGAGAGAGAGGCTGGCAGCTCTCTGATAAGGGGGAGGGCCTTTGATGCGGCAGTTAAAAACCATACCAAAACAAACCTTGCGTTGGTTTCCACTCAAGAGGAGCCAAGGAGCCAGGGGGACAGCTTGTATGCCTTTCATTCTTAAGTAGCTCCTTGGTCAAGACTAGGAGGTGAAGCTCTTTCAGGAGTCCTAACCGGAGACGTGGACAGATACTGGTCACTGACAAAAACTGGGCCCCTGGAGCAGACTTTCTGAGTAGGAAACGTGTAGAGAGAGACCAGGGGCCACATACCAGCGGTTCTTAAGCAGGGTGGTCAGGCCCCAAGAAGCCTTTTGAACTTGCATGAACTTGCATGACTGCAGACATTCTCACTGAGTGGGAATCTGTTCTCTGATTAAGCTCCCTGGGTCCAAAGGTCACTGAATCTATTCTCTTTTATAATTACCAAGTGCCTATCAGGGTCGGGGGAAAGCATCATTCTGGTTTGCCAGGGCCAGGCTTGGCTTATGCTTGTTGTCCCGATGTGGTTATCACTCTCAAGTGTCCCCATCTGGATGGTGAATTGTAGGGTCACCCTGTCCCTTAAGGCACTACTCTCAGTAAGGATTGTCAGCTTTTCAGAGATCATCCTTGCCTCCCACACTGCCGTCCCTCACTGCCACTCTGGGAATAAAACTTCACAAATATTTGAAGAATACTTATTTTTACTTATAAATAAATGCCCTGATCTGGGGTTTGCCTGCTCCCAGGCCTGCGTGAGATGCTCCAAAGTAGCATTCTGACATGTAAACCCGAGACCTTACTTATCCCATATGTAGCCCACGATCACCCATTTAGCTCATTTCTTCGTCCCAGTGGTGGTGAAAATCTCTCTCCCCCATTAGACTGTAAACTCATTTAAGGCCAAACCTCTCTCTCTGTCACTCACAGAGCTGGACCTGTGCTTTGCATATGTGCAATCGCTGCAGTGAAAGAAGAAATAAGCTCCACTGGGAAACCCCCAAGTTCCCGGTCCAACAGTTAATGGCAAGGACATGGGCACAAGGGCAGGGATTAGGGTGCGGGAGACCACAGGTGCCTGGGTGTGTGGGCGGCCGGTCAGCCTCACAGGTGCAGCTGTCACCTGCAGGTGGCATGTAGCTGGGCTCATAGTCACAATACCATGGGCTCAGTTTTCATTATGAGCTGAGGGATCTTGTTACACCAGCAGAAGGGATTAAGGCTGTAGGCTGGAAATGTTTGTGGACACCAAATGGAGATCCTGGAGCCTTCTGAGATGTCTGGTTCTCACCTAAACTTTCACTCACCAGTGGCTAAGAGGACCAGGGGGCCTCAATTTTCCTTTCCCACAGGACAGAGTGTTTCCTAATGACGAGAGCCACTCCTCAAAGGAGCTGTATTTTAGGTGAAGACTCACTTGCTCATTACTCTTTAACAAGGATCAAACTTTCCATTCCATGTTGGAAGTGAGGTCAATCCTACCTGGGAGACTTCCATCCACACTGGGATTAGATGGCGGATGAAGGGTGAGAGGTCAGGGCCATCAGAGAGGAATGTAGGGCACCCGGTAATTAGAGGAAGCAGAAAACGTTTTCTGGGGTCTTTGCTATGTGTCAGGCATGGAACCTGCATGATCTGACTTAAGGTTCTAAGGAATCCTACTGAAACATGAGCAGTGATAAAGTATTTGCTTCATATTACACTTGAGAAAATGTAGCCTTGAGTAGCTTAAAATAATTTGCCCAGGATCACACAGGTAGCAACACAGTTGCTCCAAGATTCAAATCCAAATCTATGTGACTTCGGAGAGCACTCTTTTCCTTAATTAAAAAAAAAAAAATGACACTCACATAGTTTAAGAATCAACTAGCACTGAAAGGCTTTCAAATGAAGAACGCTCCTATTCCACTCACCTGTCTTCATCTTTGCCATCAGTTTACGACCCAGATGCAGACACTTTTAACCCCTGTACGTGTTTCTTCTTATTTCCATATTTCTAAATTAAATGCTTATATCACTATCTTTTGATTCAACATTTTTAGCTGTTATTTATTGATTTCCTGTTGTGCTAGATGAGGATTAAGCTCTCTCCCATTTTTCCAGTATCACAATTTTTTGGTTAAATCAATATTCAATGCTCACATTATTCTGCCCGTGCTATACCACTGATGAGCCAAGAAATATACTATGAACAACTTCTTGAACAAATGTTTGTTTTTCCTGGAATTTTAACTGCCTGCCTGCCCATTTGCTTCATTTTTGTAGTTTCTATTTGTAGGTCTTTCTTCACGCTTCAACGGCCTCTAAATACAATGTGCCTCACGGTGAAATCTATCAGACCACGCAATTTCCTTTTTCCCGTCGTGCTTCCTTTTATCCTTCTGCTCCAATCTGGATGAGTTCACCTCTCTTTCCTGGCTCCTGTGTCTTCTGCTCTCTTTTTTCACTCTCCTAGTTGGATGGAATTTTCTCTAGTAACTTCCAAAAGGACGGTATATAGGAGGTAAGTTTTTTTTGAGACTTTGAACGTCTGAAAATATTTTTACTTTATACTTGATCAACAATTTGGTTGGATATAGAATTCCGGATAAGCAATAGTTTTTACTTAGAATTTTGAAGGCACGGCTCCTTTCTCTTCCAGCTTGCAGTGTTGCTGTTGGCAAGTCAAATGTTGTTTATTTTTTTTACCAACGAACTTTTTAAGTTTATTTGGTATTGTACTTTATTAAGCAATCCATTTTTTAAAAAATTGAGGTAACATTGGTGTATAACATTATATAAATTTCAGGTGTACATTATTATATTTCATTTTTTCTGTGTAGATTACATCATGTTCACCACCGGAAGACTAATTACCACTATCACCATACACATGAGAAAATCACCCCTTTCACTCTCCTCGCTCCCCGCTTCCCCTCTGGTAACCACCAATCCAATCTCTGTCTCTATGTGATTGTTTGTTATTGTTTTTATCTTCTATTTATGAGTGAGATCATACAGTATTTGACTTTCACCCTCTGACTTATTTCGCTTAGCATAATACCTTCAACGTCCACCCATGTTGTCACAAATGGACAGATTTCATCTTTTTTTATGGCATAGTAGTATTCCATTGTGTATATATACACCACATCTTCTTTATCTATTTGTGCCTTGATGGGCACCTAGGTTGCTTCCAAATCTTGGCTATTGTGAATATTGCCACAATGAACATAGAGGTGCGTACATCTTTATGCATTCATGTTTTCATGTTCTTTGGATAAATACCCAGCAGTGGAATAGTTGGATGGTATGGTTGTTCTATTCTTAATTTTTGAGGAATATCCATACTGTTTTCCATAGTGGCTGCATCAGCTTACACTCCCACTAGCAGTGTATGAGAGTTCCCTTTTTTTCACATCTTCTCCAACACTTGTTATTTCTTGTCTTGTTAATTATAGCCATTCTGATGGGTGTGAGGTGATATATCGTAGTTTTGACTTGCATTTCCCTAATAATTAGTGATGTTCAACATCTTTTCATATGCCTGTTGGCCATCTGTATATCTTCTTGGGAAAAATGTCTATTCAGATCTTTTGGCCACTTTTTAAATGGGTTGT